GCCATGCGTCGTTATCAGCCAAGTCAGTCTTGCATCCGCATTCAACTCCGATACTTCTAAGTGGTACCGATGAATCAACGCCGACCTGAATCGCACATCGGGTATTCACACTTAGAAGAGAAGTGGTACGAACAATAGTAAGCCGGGTCTCCCGCACGTTCGTATTCACACTTCAGTATACAAGCCAGAATCCGCACTGCAATTCGTAAGCCATACGGAATATGTAAGCCGAACTGATCGCAGTTCGTATTCGACTTACTTAAATGGAGAAAGCTCACCAATCAACATAAAACAAGGGTTCTTCTAACTATAGGATTACCCGACGCTCCAAGCTTTAGAGATCTGCTAAGATGAAGACACGTAAATTTTCTAAGTATTGAATTCGTGCCTATCTAATTCGTTTGTTCGTTTAATACTTAGAAATTTAAATCGCACAAACTTAAGCCGATATCACATCGCCGTTGTGTTCAGATTTTCAAACTCAAATGCTAAGTTTTTCAAAAAAAAAACTTTCATTTAAATAAAGCCATAACGGCACATGATTACATAGTACGAAAATTACAAGAATATTTTTTTTTAAAAAAAGGCCTAGTCTTCGGCCTCCTCTCGGATTCTTTCCTCTTTCTTATCGGCCTCTTGACTGCCAACATGGTCGGCATCGTTAACGCCATCTTGATCGACTTCTAGCTCTTTTCCCTGGTCGGCCCCTTTTGGAGCCTTAGCCGCATCGAGCTGAGTATCACTGGAAACTTCAAGGAAAACTTCCGGCGTGAAGCTGACTTCTTCAAAGGCCTCCAGTTGTGCCTTACTCTCGCCAATCAGATTCTCGATGTTCTCCTCTACCAGGGCCGGAAAGCTGTAACCTTGCCTACGAACGATCTCAAGCGCTTTTTTAGCTCTGATCCACTGAGCAGCCGTCGAAATCAACTCGTGGTATTTCGCTTTCTGCACGAGTGACTCCTTCACCTTTGCGACTAAACTCGTATAATGGTTGTTCACCGCAATCGTCGCGCGCTTTGCCACTTCTTGCCTGAAGGCAAGTTTCTCTTCAGCCGCAGCTTTCAGTTCGGCCTCCAGCTTCTTCTGAGAATCGGCCCTCTCTTCCTGAATCTTCTTTGCCATTCGATTGAGAAGTTTACTTTTCTCAGCATCATCGGCGCGAACCTTCTCAAGTTCCTCAGAAGATTTATGAAGCGCGGTTTCCAACTCGGCCTTTCTTCCCCGTTCAGCCTCGAGAGCTTCCTTAAGACTCTCCACTTCAGCTTCCACGGCCAGGAACTTATTCGCGTCCCGGTCGTACTCATTCACGGCAGTAAGCACCGTACTCAGAGCCTGTATTCACCAGAAAAAATCAATATTCAGACATCTCAAATACAGAAGGCCTACAAAAAAAAAAGCATTCGGGATATTTTCTACCTTAGCTTGTTCATGTGCAAAACGTGCAATCGCATCACTGCGAATGTACCCGCGAGGGTCAGTAGGTGGGCCTGCCGGATTGTCCCTCAGCTTAAGAAAATAATCTAAGCAGGACACCGAATCGTGCACTATTGGGCTATCCCCGCGGTACTCGTAGGAAAACCCGAACAGACGTAGTTGTCTCTCAGCACGAGACCTCTTGGACGTCCGCGGTTCAGAATTTTCTTCCGAACTCCGCTTCTTCGGGTTCATAGGGCTTCCATCACCGCCTTCAGCCCCATATACGACGATATGACCCTGATCGTCATTCCTCCTCTGCCCTTGCTCGGTCTCTTTGCGAGCTTTCTCAATCCTCTTAGCGGCCTTCTTATCGGCCGATTTCTTAGCCTTAGCTACGTCCCTCTCAACCTTGTTCAGAACCTCCTGCTCGGCTTCCCTAGCCACAGGATTCTCTGAATTCCGAACATCGGGAGACACTAGGGCAGTTTCCAGATCGGCAGACAGATCCTTGAAAGTGACAGACTTCATCCTCTCTCGTCGACGGGAGCGTCGTTCAAGCGCAACTGAGAAATGAGTTTTAAAAAGAGAGATCGAATGGAAAGCCCCCAGGTGTCAAAGCAGGTTTAAGTAAAAGAGTCAGATCGAACGAACCTCTTGTCCTCGCAATCTTTTCTTCTGTGATCTCAGGCCAAGTGATCGCACTAATCGCAGTGAATTGATTGGAGATATCGTCGATATCGAGAAGATCGTCAACGAATGGAAGAGGCCTGTTTCCTGAAAGATAAAAAGACTCAATCAGAAACAAAAATAGCAAGTTATGCTGTATTGCATGTCGATCATGTCTCTATCCATGACCTCCGCCTATTTCGTTCTGATCGGGACATCTCTATCTGCCTCGGCGATGGAAAATTTGTTGATTAACACGAAAAAATACCGATCTCTCCAGTCCGCCACCTTGGTTTTGTGACCGCCAGTCATGATGTTGTATCGAGTCTTCATACTCGTATAATATGAACCCCGGTTCCTCAAATTGGCCTTCGTACGATGGGTGTTCGTCATAGCATCAAATGCTGCTCGACTCAACGGGATATCGTGCCTGGTCGACATCACTAGCATGCTGACAATCAGCCGTATTGTCGCATGGGTAAACTGGCTGATCGGCATTTCTTTGTGGGCAGCAAATTCTAGAAGAAGCCTCGGGAGTGGGAACCACAGATGGAAGTCCGTGAAAAAACACTCGTGCAGACATAGCCATCCTATAGGAGCATCCCACGGTCGCTCCGACGGACTCGAAACCATGAAGATCACCTCAGGACCGATGTCGCATTCTTCCTTCAAGGTGACCAGTGATTCCATGGTTGATTTGGTTGGCATCACCCCGAGAGCGTTGTCACAGATCGGCTTAACTGTCGGCTCTCCTTTTCGCCTCTTAATCTTCTCTACTGGCGGATTCATGTCGACAATTCCGAACTGATTCACTTCGTCTTCAACAATAATGGCGTTTAGTTCGTCCGAGATATCCATCTCGTTCGACCCGCCTCTCACATCGTCTTCATCACGCAATTCTGGAATCTCGAATTCGACCCTGGACGATGTCTCCCCAGACCTCTGGACGATTCCAACTTGATCGGCGTGGAACCGATCGGCCGCAGCTTGCTGGTTCATCCCTCGAACGCGTTCCTGGAACGCACGATCCAACGCCGATAACTCGCTTGCATCCGAGGACCGATCCGACTCAGATTCCTCAATGACGACCCGTTTTCCCCTCGATCGGCTTTTATCGACCTGGTCATCAGCTCTCTTCGATGCCGATCTGATTTCTTCTGAGCCTGGTCGTCTTTCCCTGATTTGAATACTTTCCCATGCTTGATCGGCGTTCAGAACGAAACACGACGGAGGTCTAGTCGGCAGATCTAAAAATCTAAACAAAAGAAGAACGAAGGAGAGGGGAGAGAGCAAATCTGATTTTGATAGAGTTTCGCTAGAAATGCAGAAGTGAGGAAATTGAAGCCGAGCCCTCTTATTTATAGAAATATCTGGACGGTTATCAAGAATCATCATGAGCACGGCGACTCTCCACATTTCTTATTAAATTTTAATCGGCCTCTTCGCCTTCATCTGCTAGGGTTTGACACGTGTCAACCCTAGTTCTGCATTCGTGGGCCTAGCCTGACCTATATCATTTTTAGGCGGGAACTTTTCGCGCCCGAAATCACAATCTGGCCCTCATCACCACGCCGATCAGAAATCCAAGTAATAAATTTCATTTATATTTCTAACTCTTTTGCAGCCGACCAGAATTCACATCGAGCAGTATTTCTTTAAATTCGACAAGCAAATGCATCCTCACTTGCCGAACTGGGGGGGGGGGGGGGGACTTACTGTTAGAGATGAGATTCGTACCGTCTCTAACAAGCCCGATATGAATTCTAGTCGGCCCATTTAACAATTTCCAAGTCGGCAACATAAAAGGAAAGCTTCCATTTATCGAGCGACCCGGAGAAAAGGAAACTCTTTACCGACAAGAGTTTCCTATTCCGAACAGGTTGAAGACCGACCTGATCGGCTATAAATAAAGGAAGTCCTCGACTTCTCAATGATCAAAAAATCACATATCGAGACCTAGAGCAAACTAAGCAATCTGATTGTTCTAGCTTTCGATTTACTTTCCATAAAAGTTTAGGTCGGCGTTCTTATTCCGACGACCTAAACCCCCGTGTATTCATTCAAGCTTCGGCTTCTTCTAATAAAAGACTTCTCTTTAAATCCACAAATCCTAGTTCTTTCGAAGATCGAACTTGAGTTTTTACAGGAGGGAGGGATGTAATTTTACGGTTTTAGCGAGAAAACATAATTTTACGGTTTTTGTGAGAAAATAGAAATTTACGGTTTTCTCATGATTTTACGGTTTTGGCAGAAAACATAATTTTATGATTTTGGCAGGAAAACATAATTTTACGGTTTTGGCAAAAAAACAGAATTTTATGGTTTGGTGAGAAAACGTAATTTTACGGTTTTGGTGGAAAACAAATATTTTACGGTTTTGACGGAAAAAATATAATTTATGAGTTTTGGCAAAAAAATGATTTACTGTTTTGGTAGAAAAAATAAAATTTGGAAATTTTCGGAATTTAGTGTTTTTATAAAATTTATTATATAGGATATATTGATCTTTTATTATTTAAATTAGATAGGAATATTTTAGACATTTACAATTTTTGGATGAGATATATGTATTTAGATTCTACTTTCATTTGCATCTGAAATATTTAGTTTTTTTTGGATGAGTGAATTTGTATCCAATTACTGTATCTAGTTCGTGTGTTTATTTGTAACAAAACGAGCAATAACTAGTTTCTGAATCTGAATAGAGCAGTAAGATAAGGAAACGAACAACACCCATCTGAATACAAAAACGAACAGGGCCTTAGAATGAACCATTCTTATCGACTTGTTGACAAGTCTAGTTCTTGAGCACTGTTTAAGATCGAATGCTAACATAGCTACTTTCCCCTTTCGAATTTGTGAGGAGCGAAAGCTGGGAAACAATAATCAATGTCGTATAATTTAAGTCATAAAATATCCATCCAACTTTATTACGAGTATATAAATTACCGCCTACCTTACACATATTTCTTAGCTTATTTTTTGTTTATATCATTAGTTGTCTTTGTCGACATCCTCGCCGTAGTTAAACGGTAATGGAACCGTCTTGGCCACTTTGTACTTTCTAACATTGTTCAAATGCTCGTTCTCTAACCTGTTTGGATGGAACCAAAACCAAACCAATAAAGTTATGGAACGGTAAAGAAAGCGAACACACGATGAAGAAAACTGCAGTAATATAATATATGTTGTTACCTGAAGAAAGTCCATATCCCACGGCGGATAATCTCTAGACTGGCAACAACAGCAGCCATCGTCTGTCTGTACACGAAGGAGCAGTTGAATTTCAGCACGGTCTGTAGCCACGCGAATCTGAGCACGATGTTCAAGATCTGCACAGTTTTTTTTTTTTATGAGAATCAGTTTGGCTCTAGGATTCAAAATGAAGAGGCTTATTAACATACAGTTTGTGCTCACCATGGCGATGAAGTAGACGTTCTTTTGCGGGACAAGGAGTTCATCCCTGAGCCAACGGTTCTTGGATGTCCTGTTAAGAAGACCCCAGTCATGGACTAAGTAGCAATAGCTGAGAAGATCCCAGCTAATATCCTCCATGCAAATTGATGATCCTCGTCGACGACACTGTAAGCCGTCCTCAAGCAGACAGCCACTATAGTCAAGAAGTACTTGATGCCATTGTATCCTTGTTCTGCGTTTTTCTCTTCAAACAGCCGTCTCAAGCACTGCACAAATCTCGTGTTTTTTTAGCAAAATATTATATGAATGAAAAAAAAAGTATTGTGAGATTTCGTCTGAAGAAACTCAGTACCTGAAGGAGACGCCAGGTGTATGGGACGGCAGCAAGAATGAATAAGAAAGCATTGTAGGCATCTGAGTCTGTGCAAGTGTTCATTCTATGTTTGTAATCTCCCCAACCGTAGTGACATATGTAAAACTGGATGCTTCGAAGAGCTTGCACCTGACTTGTTAGCTGATCGCCCAACAATAAATCAGGGAAAGTTACCTGCAGGAAACGACCAATGTCACTACAAGAAAAATTGTCTATTGCCAGGATTTTGCCAAACTTCTTTCGTGGCATAATTTTTTTTACCACAAAATTGATATTTTAAATTATCTGGCATTTGTGTCAAATTTCTGTCAATTTTGCCGCGCTGACAAAACCTGTAGCATTTTGTGACAAAATATGCCATAAATTAACAAAAAAAAATTCTGTCAATATTTGCCATATATTACTAAAGATTTTTTGTGAAAAATTTGCCAAAACACAAAAAAATCGTGTGAATTTATGGCAAATTAAACGTAGATATAAAACAACATTTCCCTGGTAAATATGGTGCAATTTCAGTGAAAACAAAATATTTTGTCATTATAATATTTTAAAAAACTTTTTTGGCATTATAATATCTTAAACAATTTTTTGTCTTTTAGATTCTTAATACTTTAATAATTTTTGTTATAAGATTTATTATCTTTTAATTATATCTGTATTTAAAATTAGTTAATTTTTTTTGAAACATCTACATTAATTGCCATAATGAATCAATGGCAATATATGGCAAATCATAGCTATTTGTAACAAAATATATTCTTCTAATTTATTGTAAAATTGCCACATATTATATTATGAAAATTCCGTGGCTAATTTTCCAGCGAATATAGTCATGGTAATTTGTGGCAAATATGCCAAGAATTACCACAAAATTCAGTTTGTAACCATCTTTTAACCACAAAATAATTTCGTGACAATTAGTGTCAAATACTTCTATTGCCACGGATTTTAGACGTTTGTCACAAATAATTTTGTGGCTATACACAATTATTCTTGTAGTGTGTTAGGATTTAAGACAATCAATGTTTCTTTTGCGTGATCAACGAGCAAGTTCAGTTTCTGTAAATACCTTGTAAAGAGGAGCAGCAAGGCAGTGAAAGAGGCATGTGAGGAAGAATAAGCGACTCGAGCGATAGAATATGTTGAATGGTAGGATTAGAACTATAAACAGAACCTGTATCACCAAAGTTACCACGTTACATTGTCATATATATACAGGACTTACAATGAGGAGGAAAAGAGGAAGAAGTTCGGTTAATGCTTCGTAATCTTTAGTTTCGGGGTCAAGCTCCCTGTCAAGATTGGCGATAACACAAAGAAGCGCACAGACTCCAATGCTGAACCCCACAAGTAGGACTTGTCTATAGCCGAGTTCAGTTCCTTGCTTAAACCCCAATATAAAAGAATAATTCACTCGATATCGCCTCCAATAGTATATATTTCCAGCATACATTAGTATGTGCAGCACGATGAACCCAAACAAGCTGCAAGAACAAACAAAGAAGGCGCAACTAAACAACAAGTTCCACCTTAAACGATCGGTATAAATTAGTAAGAAGCACAGAGGTTTACCTGTAAAGAGGGAACATGGTGTTCATGTACTGTTCTTGGCCTTCCTTCTGCAAAATGTGTCGGGTGCGTATGATGGCGAATAGAGCCACCACTAGAGAAAACACGCATCCGCCTAAGAAACCTGAAAATCGGATCCCGAGTTTAGAAACTGACACGCAAAGACTGAAAGAGAGGAAAATAAATTATAATGAATTTCACCTGTGGAGAATGTAATACGATGCCTCTCTCTTTTAACTTTGGGTCTCAAGATTTTCATTCCTTTTGATCTGTTATCATTTGTGAAGTGCTTTATGAACGTAGCTTCAACGCCCTCCATGAGCCTAACCACCTGTGGCAATGGAGGAGCAAGATAAGATCAGTTGAATTATCAATCAACTGAATTTGAACCCAAAAATAAATAAAAAGACTGTATACCTCATCAGGCCATCCATGGCAAGAGTTATCAACCATGTTCATGTAATGCTCTCTCGCATGCCTCGAAGTTATCTGTTTAAGAGTAATTTCGTTGAACAAAAAAATAAAATTCGAAAGCCAAAAATTCTCACAATATCTAACAAAATCATACCTTATCATACTTCTTCAATATCTTCGAAAACGCCATTACATTCAGATCGCTGCATGTATTTTCGATTCAGTTTCATATTCGTTGATCGTAAAATTTTAAAGAATCAACCACTAAAATTACGAGAGAACGCACCTGTAGCTCTTGAGTAGCCGAAGCTCCTGGTAAAACTCGACGTAGGCGCGCCTGAGCTTCTTCTCGGAATACCTCAGATTATCTCTGGTATACTTAGACTCCGTGTTCGAGAGCTTGAGAACGCCTTTAATGGTGGACCGAGGCGTATCCTTGGTGTGATTGATCTTAACACGGTCCAAAACCTTGATCGGAGATGGCCTCGCAGCTTTCAGTCGACTTTTGTCATCGTCAGAGACGACGTTATCTTCTTCTTGCTCTGCATCATTATCATCGTCATCTTCTTCAGATTTACCAGCTTTGCACGATCCTCCTTCCTGTGTTACCTCCATGTGAGACTGAGCTCCAGCCCTCACTGCAGCCAAACCGGAATTTACAATAATCAAATTTTAATTCTGAGACCCGGTACATTATGGTTAATGAAACCGGTTTATTACTAGTTGGTTGTTGCGGAACAAGAAAGAAACAAAATCAGTTTCAATATAATGACTGAGTTAGGTTACTTACTGTTGAAGCTAGCTCCGGCGGAAGCAGAAGCATTGACGACCGCCGCGAAATTGTCGACACCAGAAGCTAATCGAGTCATCTCCACCGTCCGTTCCTCCCGGCAACCATTAGAATCCTCTACTTTCTGCCGAAACGCGATAAGAAGATCCATCTGACTGTTAAGCTCACTAGCTTTTTTTTCCACTTCTTTCACTTTGTTTTTATAGAATTTCTCCACTTTGTTTAATTCGTCGTCTAATCGCCGGAAAAACAGCGTCTCGTACTCTCCTCCTTGCCCGGCCGCCATCAGAAACGTCGTCTGGTAGCCGTGACTCGTCGACTGCACCACAATCGGCGCTGACTTCAATCCTTCCTCGATGTCGTCGTCGTAATTTGAGGAATGGCCGATCTGTCCACCACCGTGTCCGTGTCTGTCTCCGCCGTGTTGATGTCTTCTTGGTCCCGGCGTCGAGAGTAAACCGCTGAATGTTCGGAGCAGAGTCAGCTTCCGGCGAAGGCCTTCTTCGTGATGATGGCCGTCACCGTTATGATTGTTTATGCGTTTGAATTTGATGATTTCTTTTAAGTGAAACTTGAGAGAACTGTAATTCATGTAAGCTTCATGCCATTCCGGTACCATCTGCGACGAGAAATCTTTCCCGAATTTCATTTTTCAAAAAGATAATAAATCTTGTCTGAAAACAAATGTTTTGGTTTATCTGTGGCCGATGCTCGTCTGGATTTAACAGTGACAAAACCAGTATAGGGGTGTTATATATATATAAATCATGTATCAATTTTTGATTATTAATTTATTTCTTTTCGTTGACCAAAAAAAACAAATTAATTCTTTTCAATCTGGTGTGGATAAAAATCGAGCGTCAAACACGTTGCGGGTAACCAAAAGAATTACCCCACGGTCACGGACATCAAAACATCAAATAATTAGAAGGGAAACGAATAAAACAAGCACGTCTGTGAAATTATTTAAATTTTGAGATACCAACCGAGTTATTCAAATTAAAAAAAAAAAATATAGAGAAATTGGAATGAGTAGCCTTTATTTGCACGAGAATGCCTTTTTTTTTTGTTATTAGAAACTAGTTTCTATTTCCGACAAAAAGCTATTTTCTGTGATAATTGTTAGATTTTGCAACATAGTGTAAATATAGAAACAAAATTAAATTGCTTAAATAAAATACTACTAATAAAGAAAATGAAGACGTGAAATAAAGTTATAATAGTGCAGAAAACGCTTTGGTTTTTTTTTTTACAAAACATAATTTATAAATTTTGAAGTCATAGTTATGACAATATCTGTGTAAGCCATACTGACAAAAACATATAACCCAAAAAGAATTACCATTGGGGGGCAACTCTTATAACTAACAAATGTACGAGATGTTAAACTTGGAATGATTGAATTTTGAACTCCAGAGCTTTATATTATCAATTATATTTGATACAGTAATGTCTTCCGACTCATTTTTGCAACAAATTCACTAACAAAAGAATTAATCTCCTTCAAAACAAATATTATCATATCTTTTTCAAAACAAAATTAAAAAATATTATCATAACTCAAGCTTCAAAAGTTCAAATACATTCGATTACCGTCAATAAAGCTTTGCCTTCGAGTATTGATGTGCACTGTGCAATTTGGCTGAACCTCTAATATTTTGTTACTTTTTAATAGTCGCGCATTTTCTATCTTCTTTTTATTTGTTTCGTATTTAGATTGTAGACAGCATCATAATTACATTTTTAGATTTTTTTTAAAAAAAAGTCTAACTCATTTGATACATTATTCTTTGAATGTCTATTAATCTTGCAATAGTTTGTTATTCTATGATAGTCACGCATTATCCATCTTTTCTTTGTCTGTCTCGTATCTAGATGGTAGACAGCATCATAATTATATTTTTTCTTAGAAGTCTAACTCATGTTGTATTTGATACATTATTTATTGAATGTCTATTAATCTGCAATAGCGAAATTAACATTCTTAACTGCTTTCATCCATTGCTTTTTGAAAATTAAATTGTATAAAAAATACACTGACTCCAATTACATTTGAAATAATTCTTAAAATTTTGTGAAAGTATTTGATGATTTGTGAGATTTTAAAAAACCTAAAGAAAATTTTAAAATTTTTAAAAAATATTTGATATCTCAATCACGAAAAATGTGTATTCTGCAACTAACAGTGTAAACACAAAAAAATTGTATCTATTTCAGATAAAATGTGTTAACATATAAATAAGTCTAATTTATAGGTAAAACAGCCTAGTATATGAACTTTTCAAGATTTTTTATATTCTATTTAAAATCATTTATTCTTCAAAATGATTTATTATGGTGAGTTTTATATGGAAATTTTGTATAATTAGGATATAAATTTTAACTTCATATAAAATAATACAAATAAAATTATGAGAAATTGGTATGAATAACCATAAAAAATTATAAATTAACTGTATAACCACTATTTTGTATTGGTTAGAATATAAGCTATAATTTATGTATTATAGACAATACTATTCTCTCTTTTTCAGTATTTTTAAGCTTTTTCTTTTTTTCTTTTGTGTTTTTTTTTACTTTTTCTTTTGTGTTTCTTCTCTTTCGTTTCCAAAAGTTTTTTTAGATTTCATAGCCACCATTTTTCTTTCCCTTTCTAATAAAATTATGTAATATGACGAGCCACACCATTTTTCTTTCCCTTTCTAATAAAATTATGTAATATGACGAGCCACCGATTCATAAATCTCATATATGACTGCCAGTGCCATGCCAGTACCAATCTGCTCCAGTCAACACTCACTACGACAATGATCTTTATTATAAGTATAATTTTTAATACCAAATCCAATATGGGCATACTACAAAGGGTAATATAAATGAATGGTAAAGAATGGATAATTAATTAAGAAAATAGTAAAACCTATTTGAAAGTTTAAATATTAAAATATTTAATCATACTTTTATTCTATTTTGTTTTCACACAATATTATTTTCATTGTTTTTTTATCTCTCCTTTTTCTACCTTTTCTGTTGTAACTCTTTTTCTCTTATTTTTTTACCTTAACTTTCTCTTTTTTAATTGAACCATCTTATATTTTTCCTCTTAATTCTTATTCTTTATACTAGCATCTCCAGATCCTCTTACAACCGCAGCGAGAACTCTCACCAACCCCCCTTGTCTGATGATTTTTTTTCGAAGAGTCCTTCTCTTTTTTCAGTCGGTCAGATCTGTTTTGCATATAATACCATGTCGATTTTAATCTACAGTTTTTCTTTCTTCTCTACATCGAGTCCAGTTCTTCCGGATCCGAAAATATTTTAAATAATCCACTACCACTCTATATATAAAAATAAATATATATATATATATTTTATTAGACATCTACATATATAATTAATTATTCTATAATTTAATAGTATTTTATAAATAAATATTTATATGTACATATCATATTAAAAATTTATATATATATATTTCATAACTCTATAAATAAAAAATATATATATGTATATTTTACTAGACATATATATAAATAATTATTTTGTAATTTAATATTATTTTATAAATAAATATGCGTATATATATCGTATTGGACATCTACATATACACATTTTATAATTCAATAGTACTTTATAAATTAATATATACATATATTTTTTATTAGACATCTATATATATTATAATTCAGAAATATTTTATAAATAAATATATAAAGTAGTTATATGTACATACATGCTGGTAATTTTGTGACAGACGTAATTTTGTGATGCAATTTTTTATTTTTAGATATTTTTTAACTTATTTTTTCTAACCATAATTTAATTTATCTATCTGCTACTTATATATCCAAACATTCATCTATCTTTTTATCCTAAAATTATTCTGGCCGTTGACCAAAAAAAATTATTCTGGCCTTGGTTTGACCACCTCCACATATTCTTATGTGATATCGAAGCTGCAAACGCCAAACGTCAATGCATATGGACTTAAACAAAGTATCTATCAATTCACACGTTCCTCTTTTTTCTACCAAACAAACAAAAGGGCACAATCATTTTTACCATTGGGAAAAAATGATGGTTTCACAAATTATGATCTATCTGACAAGTATTCTAGTTTTCATTACTATTATTTTTCCTTTTCTAAAAAAAATTATTTTCTGTATTTCAAGTTTTAACATAAATGACTATTCCAAATTTCTTTTGTTAATCACATTCTATTTATTTTGAATATTATTTTTCTATTTCAAATTAAGATAGAATCCATATCACAAAACACAGCATTTGTCATTTCTTATCGACTTGTTGACAAGTCTAGCTCTTAACATTGTTTTAGATTGAAAGTCATCCTACTTTGACCTTCGAATTTGTGGGGAGCGATACAATAATCGATGTCGTATATTTCGGGTGGACAGATATTGGGTTATTATTCGATATGATCGATATCAGTTCAACTCTATTACGTGCTTATAAATTCTGTATAATGTTTTTGAATCATAAACTTCCAAATCCAATTATTAGCAAAGAGTGGATTGATATGATCATAAGTGATATTCAAGACTTAAGCTTTTTGATTAAATTTTCACTATTCAAGGTGGAAACAAATAAAAACATCAGATCAACCAAGCTCTAATACTATTTTAGAAAAATATAAACAATAGATTTTTAGATTTTGATATACTAACTTATAATTTGTTCTTAACCTCATATTACATAGACATACATAGTATAGTATTTGAATTACTTTTATGGTATATATTTTAAAATCCTCATTACATAAAATGGAAAAGCGTTTGACCAAACAAAAAAATGGAAAAGTATGAAAAGTTGTGATGTAGATTTGAAGTCGCGTTATGAGTCTTTGTATCATTGTCCTTTTGCAACCAATTTCTCCTTCCCGTTGATTTGTATTCCCCCAGCGATGGTTATGGAGATAAAATCTCTTCTTGTCACTTGTCAGATATGTCGGTCCCATCTCCGTTAGTTGTGAGTTCAACAAAGTTTCTCGGTAACTGTCCCGACGTACTCATTCAGTGGCGGAGCATCGTCAGGAGTGCAACAAACGTTCCAAAGTGAAATCCTATATAATTATAATAATGCATATAATAGAAAATCTTAAAATGAAAAGGATATGAAATTGAAAGATAAAATGAAGAATGTGAGATCGCTTTGTACAAATAGAAAGAAAAATTAACAAACATGGTTATCCGTTAGCAAATAAAATCGACCATAAAAAAGTTGTCCTATTTGATAGTTTTTTTATAATAAATTTATTGCATAATTTGCTATTGGTAAGATTGATACGAGTCAAGTTATCAAAGTTTTTTAATATGTGTATCCAGTGGCGGATTCAGAACAAATTTTAATCTGGAGCAAAAATACTATAACACTTTTTTTTATAAAAAATTAAAGTACACATGTTCAAAAATCTACGTTAATTATGTATGTGAACGACCAAAATGTTAGTTTAAACTTTGACTTGATATTAATTAGGTGCAAAAAAAAAATTGCATTTGTATAATGTTTAAATATGAGACCCACAAAAAGAAAATTTAACAAACAACTAAAAAGAAAAAAGGAAAATAGAAAAGTTAATATATAAACGGGGGCATCGACCTAAGAACTAGTGTGACATAAGTCCATTTACAGCCACTGAGAGACTTAATTATAATCAATACATAAGTAAAATAAAAACTAGTATATATATTTAACCGGGGGCACGTGCCCCTATACCCATCAA